GTGCATATTTATATATATATATATATATATATATATCTATCTATATCTGTGTGTGTGTGTGTGTTTAGCGTACCCCCGCCCTTGGTTAGCATCATTGGTGTAAGATCCCTCAGGTTAGGGGTTTCGAATCTCATTATGGCGACGTGAGCCTTAAGGAGGGTGGTACTCAAATTGTTAGGCACATTATGAGTGGCTAGATGTATGTATATATATATATATATTTCTCTCTCCCTATCTCTCTCTCTCTGTGTGTTTTGTGTACCCGACCCCTTGGTTAGCATCATGGGTGTAAGGCCCCTCAGGTTAGGGGGTTCGAATCTCATTATGGCGATGTAAGTCTTAAAGAGGGTGGAACTCGAATTGTTCGACACATTAGGAGTGGCTAGTCTATAGTTATTCCTTTTTAATTATATATATATCATTGTTGGCTCATTCTTGACGTACTATATATACACCAAAATGAATATATATATATATATATATATATATAATGAGACTAATACTCATTAAGAAATGTATAAATAGTATGTTTTGTAAATAATCAAATCTTATAAAAATGTCTTTTCTTATAATTTAACAATAACAACAACAACAACGTGGTGTTGTGCTCAATATCTTGCCAAAGTATACGCGAGAATATGCAGAATAAATCAGTTTTATAACCAGGCCGCCGGCCGGTGTGGGTACGATTATCAAATTAGAAATGCGCCAAAGATCGTGCCACCATATAAAATATAATATCAATTACCATAATTTCAATCATATAAAAATATATCAGCTATATCAGAGGTGTTATGTACATTAAAATTAATCCTAAGTCAACATAGTTTAGATTATATAAAAAAAATATGCTTGTGGAGACGTAAATAGGTAAATAATGGAGGTAACTACATATTGTAGAAGCCACGTGCACCAAATTTTATTGAGAAATAATGGCATGATAACATAGATAGGATTAATTATATATATATAAGGAATAAAATATTTTATAAAATAATAATATTTTATTTAACATATCATGCTACA